GACAGCGGATACCCAGGTTATGAACATCTGTTTGAACAAGTAGGATTGATCTGATTTGTGACCAGAAATAGTGCTAGTATTAATTGTCAAATACATCTATCTTACTTTTTCACATTTTTGTATTTTCCCACTTTAAGTACCTTTGAGTGCTGAAGTGGTAACCAGTGCTGGCCCGAGTGGACAAAATGTGTCAAATGTTTTTCCCAGCAACCACTGCTTTCCATTGCGCTTCATCTGCCAATCACGAGCACTCACATCGTTCGCTACAGTGAAACCTGCAACATAGGAAAGGGCCTCCTCTTCCTGAGACAAATAGATACATTTATTTAAAATTAGGTTGGGGCAATTGTGGGAATGACACAAGAAATGTCCTGCTGCTAGGATGCTGCATTATACTTAAGTCTTTATTGACTTAACCCTGTAAAGCCTGGCATATAAATTAATAGTTAGTAAAATCTTTTGAAATGGAGCAGTTTATTGAACCTTCAGACAAAAATAAAAAAGTTTGCATGTGTTTTTTTTTTTGAGGCTTTTATGGCTCATATAATGATATATAAGAATAAGGAGCTTATACTCAAGGTAAAAACACTTCCGTTTTATTTAGATGCCCAAACTGAGCAAAAATATGCAATTTGATGCAGATGCTGATTTTATAATGCAAAATGTATATTTTTATAACGGTATTGCAGACATTACATAAATGCATATAAATATCAGTTGTCACTCTATATCTTCCAATAATATGTCTCGGTAAAATGATATTTAAATGCTTAGTTTATGATCAAAACTTTGTAATTTTTATTGTGGGGGGCAAAACATGTTATGCAATACAATGACGACTGAGAAATGAGTACAAATAAACATTTCCCAAAAGCCTGATGTATCATATATGATACACTTTAACATGATTTTTCTAAAAACATTATGTATGGATCTTAAAGTTGTTTCAGTTCAGTAAATGTTCATCTTGAAATATTACTAACAATATAAAAGTTATTCTTAGGTTTACTTTATAAAAATCAGTCAAGATTCTGACGTAAATCAGGCAACAGAAGGCATGTAGCAGATTGTACAACAGATTTTTCAGCAAAGTTTCAATCATGTTAATTTAGACGCCTTATAATAGAGTAGGCTTTATAGGGTTAAATGTGTTCTATTGCATATTTTGACTACTCACATTTAGCCACACACAAAAAAAATTTAGACGCCTTATAATAGAGTAGGCTTTATAGGGTTAAATGTGTTCTATTGCATATTTTGACTACTCACATTTAGCCACACAAAAAAAAAAAACCCTGAACCTATAATTTTATCTCATTCACATACTTAAATGTGATTGTGTCCTGCAAGTGCAGCTGAAATTACACACGTAATGTTTAATATACTGTAATAAATCTTATCAATTAACAGAACATTTCTATTTTAACACACATGTCAACAGATGGATATATAAATAACCATTTTGCTACCTTAATATGCTTCCCTTTCTGTCCAATCACAAAGGCAAGTTCCACCTCCCAGTCCACTTCCTGTAAATTGAGCCGCCACAATGTGAAAACATGGATTGCATGTTTCACGCCCCAGAGTGAAAGATTTTCAATATTCGATTTTTAATAAAATAAGATTATTTTAAAGTTGGATACTTCTACATGTCGAACAGAAATCTGCATGTGACAGGTTCCAGCTGACATTACAACAGTCAGTCTCATACTGTAGTTATTCTGTAGTATGGAGTGTCATTGTTGATTTAAAGTGACACCAGCCGTCAGTTTGAAACTCACCTGACTCTCCGCTGGGAGAATGATGTCATCATAAGGGCCAGTTATGGTGGAGGGGAACTTGCTGAATATGATGGGCTCTTTAGGAATCGGGGCGTTTTGCTCTAGGCAGTGGTCTTTATAATTCATACCAACACACACCACCTTCTCTGGGCCAGTCACTGGGGAAAGCAGCCTGACATCCGTCTGCGCCACCACATGCTGGCCGCTGGACAAAGCCCTGCGAGCGAGAGATAAAGATGAATAAATGCTGTTTTCTATAACTTGACACTTTCTACACGTAATACATCTCTAGAACGCCTAAATAATGAACTAATAAATATTACATTTTTGGGGAGTCGTTCCACATGACATAGTGCAACCTGAGCTAACCTTTCCTTGTCACAAAAAGCGTCAAATTATCTGTTATTTTAAGTGACTTGTCGACCTTGCAGCAGTACTTTCTACATTTTTTTCCCTCTGCATGTTTGTGCCTGTTGGTTGCACCACATGACTTTGCAGAATGTTTTTTAAGAAACTTTCACAAAATTGTTTTCTGTGGAGTAATAAAAGATTCATGCTAAACTACTTTATTATCTTTTCAAGAATTCCATTTTTGAATGATTTTCTTTCTTTATTATGATATTGGAACAGTTGCATCACCCTGATTTTTTTTTTCTTTTTTACTTTATGCCCCCCACAAAAATATCAAATTAATATTTATTTATAACTTAAAAACATATTTATAAATTATTTAAAAAATAATAATAATGAAGAGGTGTATTCAAGTCATGTAGAAATTGCATTTTTTAAATATTTTAAAATAAAATTAATCTATAATAGATTTAGAATGAATAGATCCAGACAAAATGACCGGTCTATGTAAAGTATGTGCTCTCTTTGTTGAGTGTGTGTAGTTTGTGTTACAGTGTGCATTCTTAATACCTCTTAGCACAGTCCATTCCCTTTTCCCCCATTTCTAGGAACTCTCTCATAGTGGAAGGCATGGAGGGGTCGAAGGCTTTCAGATCAATGACCCCCTGACCTCCTGCCTGCTCCACCCCGACTCTGACACCCACCTCGCCGCCTCTGTGGCAGAACTGGACGAGTCTCATAGCGGCTGAGCTTGCGGTGCCTCTGACAGTGCCTGCAGAGAATACAGCATTGAGTCTCCTCAAACTGAGCTGAGAGATACCCAGAAATCTCATCTATTAGAAAACAGAGGGAAAGAGAGACAGACAGAAGAAAGGACATACAGAAGTGAAAGGGAGAAATGGACAAACATACCAAGAGGTGCAAGATGACAAGAGAAATAATGTGCCCTTCAAATAGAGTCACAAATATCATATTTGCAAATTCCAAGCACATAAATAACAGCTTAGTCATACTGAAGAGAGAGAAAATCAGACAGATGATCCATGAGTTGCTGAATTGTGACATTTGGCGTGTTGATTTAAAACATTGTGAAAGCACTAATCTAAAACATGGATCATATATAATACATCTATAATATCTATACAGAGATCAGCAAGTCTGTAGTGAATTCTAATGAATGATTTAATGAAGTTATTTTAATTTTGCATTCTGTATTTCAATCTTTTTAAAGGGGTGATGCACCGAACAGCTGGTTTTTAACCTTTATTAAACCTCTTCAAATGACAAACGCACTAAATCCAAGCAACATACATTGAAAGAAAAAAATAAAAACTAATTAATTAATTACAAAATAATAAACAATGAAATACTTTAAAGCTAATTATAACAAATTCAATTCAACTCAAGGGGTGTTAATCAATACACTGCTTTATTTCAACTGCTTTTTGATTTAAATAAAATGTTTGAATTATTTTAAATGCCACAAAACATGGAGCATCTTTAACAAATCTACATTTGTGTAAATAATATTATTACACAAAAATTCAACCTCTTTGTTTTGCATAAAACACCATACTTAAAGCTGATAGATAACTGTGTTAATCACTGGACCTTCACAGTTGGACACTGGACTTTCTGCAACACGCATACATTTTTGATACCATGTATAAATAAGTGATAGAGATTAATAATTCCGCAGGTGCGCTGAAGGGAGCATTATTTCAGATAAAGGGAGCGAGGCAGCCTAAACCCAGCTTCAGCAGATGTATTTATTTTTATTTTTTTTGATTATGTAACAAAAATTCAGCAGCAGTCAAATTACTGATTGCTTAAGACAACATGTTTATCGTTAGAAACAAGATATCATGCAAGGCAGTGCAGATAAGAGGTTACTTTTCCCTGCTTTCAGTTTCTTGCAATGCTGTGTGAGTCCTACCTGATCTTGGTGCAAAAAACAGCAGGTTTGATCATGCAAGTAACAAAAAATGATACAAAATAAAGATTGCAAAATGATCTGTTTGAGGTTTAATGTGTTACTCGCTGCAACATCGCACTGTAATCCGACTAAAATTACACAATCTTTGTACTTTGACACAAAACTGCTCACACTCACTGTCGTCGCTGTCATGTGACTTCTTGATGTCCGGATTCGTGAAAGAGTCATTCTTTTGAGTCGGATCTTTTCATTGCATCGGTTGAACAGGTTCATGGATTCACGGGGATTTAACTGTAATGAAAGTGGAAGTGTTCAGAAATATTGTTAAAAAAAAAACGAGGTGTGTAAAAATGTGTGTTTATGACCATTCATCAAATGGCATACAAAACAAATTATAATACATCGTTTTTTTTGTTTTTTTTTATAATACATAGTTTTAAAGTTGGGTGATGTAAATTTATTTTATTATTATCTACTATAATTGAAAAATGTATTTAGGTTCTAAATGACTTAATAGCTGCGACAAAATGAACGGGGACACGTGGAAATATAATAAACTCTCTTCGTTTGTAATAAAACGTAATAAACAGTCGTGTGTGTGTGATACATGTGTCCAGTGGGACGAAAATAATTCAAAATTGTTTTTGAGCCAGTTTGCAATGAACTGTTCGAAAGAACCGATTCACAGAAATGAGTCGGACTTCTCATCACTGTGACTTCCGGTTTTATTTAGTCGTTTTAGGGATGTTTGTTGACAAAGACGTAATTTAAAGAAATACACGCGTAAGTTAAAACATTGAAATGCGTATTAAAAATCGCGCATTTGAAATATAAATTGATGTATTTTTTCCACAATTTCTGTGCCTTTTATTCCATTACAGAGTTCGGAAAAACTACATTTCCATAGCTCTCCAGTGGTCATGTGATTTGCCTTTGAAATCTGTCAGCTGACATCACGACAGCACTTCTGTGCAAGGCGAAATAAGGATCCGTGAGGATGTCTGTAAGGTAAGAGGATTATTTAAAACTGGTCAAGTTTAAAATCACTTTTATTATAACTGCTGTCTTCGGGGGAGTATATTGAGTTTTCTACGGTCATTGCATTATCTGAGTCTTTGTGCAACTGCAATAATTTTAAGTGATAATTGCTAAAAGCTACATTATGCATTGCTGTTAAAATAGATGTTAACTTGTTCTGTGGAGATTGTCTTTTTAATCTGTTTCTTGCTACGATTGTACTAATCGTATGTGATCAATCTCACGAATTCTTCTCAGAGTTTAGAAAGCAGACTGAGACTGTACTAAAGTCAAATTTGATAAATTTGAACTTATTATTATTATTATTATTATGCATTTTATTAAACCAAAGTCTCCCAGTCACCACGCTGCAGCCCCCATTTCAGAGTACTAAGTTCATAACAGTTTCAGCAGAACAGTTCCTCTTTGCCGATGACAACGTTGAATAAATATTTGAAATATGAGAAGTATTTCAATTTGCCATGTCAGCAGTGAGGAACTGCAGTTGCTGAAGCTGCAGGTGATTTATTCTTCCTAAATGTTTCAGTGAGCACTACATGTGGAAATAAAAATGTTTTAAATAGAAATTGCAAAACAGAAGCGTATCCATGGTCCTTTGTCACAGTTTCAGTCCTTTGGACCCCACTACTCATAGATGCCAGAAGACACTCAAATGTGAATCAAACATTATCAGAAATAGTGAGAGCAGCTGCAATGAGTCAAGCTAACTAGTCAACATTGTTATTATTTGTTTAACCTTGAAGAGATTTCATGTCTGTAAACGTGATTACTAAGCAAGAAAACATTTGTAAAGGTTTTAATCTTCTCTCTGTCTTTTCTTCAATCCAGTGTCCAGCCTCTCCAGTGTACAGCTGACTGCAAGGACCAGAAGTTAGTAAATCCCTGCCTCAAACTCTCAACTTGATGTGCATTTGCAGTCTTGTGGCCTCACTTGTGCGTGGGTGCTCACGAGCATGATAGGTCACTTAGCAGCATCACATTACCATCAGAGGAACTGTGACATAATGATTCAGTCATCACTGCTGTTCCCTGAACAGGCTGCATTACAATCAACAACACATAGACTTTAGACTTTAGACTGCTTTCTGATAACTGATGTGTAAAAGTAGAGTTTATTGTCTTAAGTGTGGCCCTCTGTAAACTGAACTACACATTTAGATCTGTATTTTTGGCCTGATTTTCCAGTAAAATTACATAAAACCACATGCATACAATGTAGGGGATGATATTAGACTCTAAATGATTAATAGATGCACGCACAATTATCCATCATCCCATAACAATGCACCCCCCCCCCCATTGGCAAGTCTTTTTTTTTCAGTTTTAAGCATAAAATCAACACTTTTATTAATTATTTCCATAAAATTAACCCAAAAAAGCTACAATTTGCCAGTGTTAGTGTTATTTTTAGTATTATTTATACACTGTCTTAGTGTTAATTAATATTTAGTTTTTTGAATTAGCATTTATTTTTATATATTAAGCTTTCATTTTAATTTTAATTTTTAGCAATTTTGGTATTTGCTTTTGTCAATTTATTAATTTTATATCTCTATTTAGCCTTAAGTATTTATTTCAGTTGTAGCAATTAAATTATTTATTTTATTTTATTTTATTTTAGTTAGCTGCCAAGGCGACATTTCTTTTTCTTTCTTTCTTTCTTTCTTTCTTTCTTTCTTTCTTTCTTTTTTTAAATAAATTAAGTTTAAGTTTGTTATATTTTGTTATATTTGTTTTAGGTTTAGTTAACAACAAACCACACTGGCCATGGGGTATATTTTCTGAAAACAAGTATTAATATATTTATTAATTCTGCTTAGATGCCCAGCCATAAGAAAACATTTTTTTGTAAGTTTTTTTTTCAGTTTTAAGCATAAAATCAACACTTTTATTAATTATTTCCATAAAATTAACCCAAAAAAACTACAATTTGCCAGTGTTAGTGTTATTTTTAGTATTATTTATACACTGTCTTAGTGTTAATTAATATTTAGTTTTTTGAATTAGCATTTATTTTTATATATTAAGCTTTCATTTTAATTTGAAGTTTTAGCAATTTTGGTATTTGCTTTTGTCAATTTATTAATTTTATATCTCTATTTAGCCTTAAGTATTTATTTCAGTTGTAGCAATTAAATTATTTATTTTTATTTTATTTTATTTTAGTTAGCTGCCAAGGCGACATTTCTTTTTCTTTCTTTCTTTCTTTCTTTTTTTAAATAAATTAAGTTTAAGTTTGTTATATTTTGTTATATTTGTTTTAGGTTTAGTTAACAACAAACCACACTGGCCATGGGTTATATTTTCTGAAAACAAGTATTAATATATTTCACAATTCTGCTTCACAATTAAATTTATGTGGTTTCAAGCATGTTATATACTAGAAAACAAGACATAATACATATTTCCATAATACAGATGAAGGAAATATATTTTTTTTGCTGTGTAATAATGAGTAATTATAGCACTGCTATTCTGCACTTTCTATATTGCTATATATTGTGAAGGTTCATTTGGATTTTTCTTCTTTTTTGCAGTTTTGATGGCATTATCTTAATATGCCAAAGTCATGAGCAGCTCCCTGATGAGCTGGAGTGTTTGAAAGCACCATTACAGGACTACAGTGCAGTGAGTTCAACTCCACAAACAACTAATCAGCCCTGCAGTTTATATCTATTTCTTTTTATTGCACACATCTGTCACCACAAGTAAATGTATATGGTTTTAACCATGTTTGCATATTTTATATTAAAAAAACAACAGCACAGATCCAGTAAATGATTTATTTATTTTTTGTTAAGCACTACAGTACTGTTTGGATTTACTGCAGCTTTTCTACAGTTTGTATATTAGAGCAAAAGTGTATATTGCTATTTTGTTTATTCTTATCTTCTACAGTTTTGATGGCATAATCTTGATATGCCAAAGTTATGAGCAGCTTCCTGATGAGCTGGAGTGTTTGAAAGCACCATTACAGGACTACAGCGCAGTGAGTTCAACTTCACAAACAACTAATCAGCCCTGCGGTTTATATCTATTTCTTTTTATTGCACACATCTGTCACTCTGTCACATTCAGGTGGACTGTTGCGTCGGTGAAGAAATCAGCTTAACAAAAATTAGAAATGTTACCTTGGCAACTAAATTAAATAAAATAAGAAATAAGTTTGTCCTAAAATTACTAAAACAAATAAAAATAAAGCTAAATATAAAACATTTAAAAATGAAGAACTAATAAAAATGACAAAATCACATTTTAAGAAGCACAACAAAATTAAACTTGAAATTAATTGAAAACTGAAAATATAAAAATAACAGCCGATCCAACTTATTAATAAATAGTATAATTGTATGTAAATAATACTAAAATAACACTGGGACTTACAGAACTAATGCCCTTCTATTTCTGCTTCTTTGTTCTCTAGTTTTTGACTTTTCTGCTTGTCTGTATCAGTGTAACCTAGTTATATTTCTGTGTCATCAGCCTTTAGAGGTGAGGGAGCACAAGTCGTCCCCTCATAAGGTGGCTGTGCTGGGCATCTGGGTGAAGAACCAGGCGCAGGGAGAAGCCGTTACTGAGCTGGCCACTGCTCTGGAGAGCGGCAGGTATGAGTCTGTGTGGAAACGATGTTTTATTTTAGCATTTCATATGGACAAAGATCTTTAATTAACCAGGTATCTCCGAGGATCCATTGTGTACAAAAATCAATAAAAAAAAAGATAATTTGTGTATGGTATAGGCTTGTCTATCGTGACATCGGTGGCTCTGACCCGGAGCGAATGGCTGCCCCACGTGTAGCTGAATATGTGCAAGCAGTTTTCAAGGATAGCCCTGTAACGGTGAGACTTTATGTGAGCATTTAAAGCTCTCTCTCATCTCAGTAAGAACTGACATGCTTTATTCATCTGCATGTCTTTGCTAGGTGACTGTAGTGAGTAATTTGAATACTCTGGAGAAGGAGTATCCCTGTTTGGCTGCAGTCAACCGCTGTGCTAACAGTAAGACATTTGATTCAATAAATTCAGCCTTGGTGAGCATAAAGAGACTTCTTTCAAAGATATTTAAAAAAAATTATTCTGGTAATATATACAAATACATAATGTACATTTTTACAATATAACCTTTTTTTACAATATCTTTTAACATTTTCATTGTAAGTAATCAAAGTAAATGTGGTTGTTGTTGAGTCAATTTACACTGATAGTAGAATGAGATATGAGACCATAAACCAAGACCATGACCTAGACCAAATCCACATTTATGTGTTCTTGATCGCTCAAGACTCCAGTTCTGGGTATCATTAGTGTGTTGTGTTATGTAAAGTGTACTTAAGGCTCATGTTTGTGCTTCAGCTGTGCCGCGCCACCAGGCCCGAGTGATCAAGCTGCTGTACTGTGGGGAAGGACCCATTCAACAGACCCTCATGGTGGTTGGCAAGGTGAGTTTTAGGTTAACTGTATTTGGACGCCCAGGATAGAAGAGTTTCCAGCACATATGAACATTGTATGTTGTTGCAGGGTATTACGTATGACACCGGTGGAGCCGACATCAAGGCCGGAGGAATCATGGCTGGAATGCACAGAGATAAATGTGGATCTGCGGCTGTTGCTGGCTTCTTCCAGGTACTGATCACATATGCACCTGATCGTATTACTGACGAGAATATTAGAGTCTAATATCAATGTATGTTTGTTTTTTTAAGATCTTAGCCAAACTAAAGCCTAAACACCTGAAGGTTGTGGGTGCAATGGCAATGGTGCGGAACAGTGTCGGATCTGGTAAGCAATTTTGTGTGCGTGTTTTGTCCAGTTTGGGTGTCTGTTGCTAAATATGGGTCATCTATTATTATTTTTTATTTTTTTATTTTTTTTTACCCTTTGGCAGATTGTTATGTAGCTGATGAGTTGGTGGTGTCTCGTGCTGGTCGCAGAATCCGAGTTGGAAACACTGATGCTGAAGGAAGAATGGTGATGGTGGACTTGCTATGTGAGATGAAGGAGCAGGTACTTGCATATTTCAGCATACACTCTAAAGTAGTGTGCATTACGATTTAAGATTTAAAGGGGCCCTATCATGACATCAAGACCATTTTGTTATATGAAAAATTATACCAAAAAGACAACTGAAACCTAGATGCCAAAACACTGAAATGTAGGAAGGTCTAATTTGCTTGTGTGTAGCACCTACAGCTTTGCATATCATCATTATTTTATATATATATATATATATATATATATATATATATATTATTTGTATTAGAATTACAACAGTTACAATTTTGAATAAGCTTGATTTTTTTATTTTTCAGTTATTAATTTGTTGGTTTAAATTTTGTCATTTAATATTTATAATTAATTTTATTTTTGATTTATTTCAAATAATAACGTTTTAATTTAGTTTAGTTATGGTTTTGTATATTATTTATTTCAGTCATGAAACTCTAGATGTTGTAGGCTGATAGACCCATTACTGCTAACATCACACCAGTGAGATTGCTTGCTCAACATTTAAATTGTCTGGTTCAGCGTTCACTGTAGAGTTCCTCCGAAACCCTCCACCTCCCCCAGTTCCTCCTGTCTAGATCTCTTACGGGATTTATGATTACCTATTCATGCAGCTGCAGCATATCTTACATGGTCACAGCAGTGTGGACCTCTTGTGTGCTTCTTTAGGCATTGAAGGAGGTGTCTCCTCAGCTCTTCACTATCGCCACTCTGACAGGACATGCTATCAGAGCCATGGGACCTCATTACTCTGTGAGTACTTCAACATACTCCTACACACCTTCTGAAGGTTGAGGAAAAACACTGTGCATCACACATCAGTGTGACCGTTTCCATTATGACTCTCCATGTGTCACTGTAGATCATAATGGATAACGGTGCTGCTCAACGCTCAGGAAACGCTCTGCAGTGGCAGAAAGGTAAGAAGAGCTAAGAATCGTTTGTTTTTGCTTCCATAAACATCGCTTCATTTGTCTGAAATCTGTTTGTGTGGCAGCGGGAGAGGTGCTGGGAGATCTGTTTGAGGTGTCCACCATTCGTCGAGAGGATTACGAGTTCCACAAAGGGAAGTCTGAGTATGAAGAGATCCTGCAGTCTAATAACCTGCCCTCGTCCGCCACACCGCGTGGACACCAGACGCCTGCCGCCTTCCTCATCATGGCTTCTGGACTGGATAAGGTAGACAAACACAAAATGGGTGTATTATCAGTTCAAGACTTAAGATGTAACATTTTTGCTAAAATATATCCATTAACCATGTTGGTCCCACAGCATGGAGTGGACTCGGACAAACCTCTGCCTTACTCTCATATCGACATTGCTGGATCCAGCGGCCCCTTCCCTGGTGTCCCCACAGGCGCCCCAATTCTTGCCATGGCAACAAAGTACCTGGAGCTTTAAATGCATGTCCAATGATTTTTCTGGTCCTTCATTATTTCAGTTATTTCCATCTAGTGCCATTTCTCGATTAATGGTTTTCATATCTGCTCCATCTGACACATTGTGTGTTCATGTAAGACTGGGGCAAATCATGACCTTTGCTGCTTCTAACCCATCTTGAACACTGTCCATTTTCTCATTCTGTTGTCACTCCATACATACATAAATGCATCTCTTCATGTCCTTAAAAACCTCTACGCTCCTCTTACTCACACACAAAATCATCTTATCCGATTATTCTTTAGTACTGTGCACGTTTTCCGTTTCTAATTAGCATTTACCGAGCTGAAAGTGAATTAACCAGTGTTTTATTTCCGTTCTTACCTTGTAGCCTTAGTGTCTGAGTTGAACTGACATGGAAGAAGAGGTGGGGAAGTTGAGCCAGTGATTGATAATGAATTTACATCTGTGAATTTGTTTGGCAATACTGTGAGACGAAAAATGCATATTGTACAACTGCCCATTTTGTACTAGTATAGTTGTGTGTAATCTAGAAAAAAAAAGACACGATGCCTTCTGTATCCAGTCCAGTTTGACCATAAGAATAAATGTCTCTGAATAGAATATGTGTGAAGGTTTGTGAAATGCAATAGTACTGCTTCACTGACAAAAGGACAAAGAAATGCGAGCAGTTTTTTTTTTTATTCTATTCAAAACGTGCATCTAAAATGCTTTATTAAATTACTATTTCGTTTTAACTACATTTTAAATGATCAAATAAACAGTTAAAATTATCAATGTTATTTAAAAAAAATTATAATCATTTAACTTAATTTTAAAACAATGTTTTAAATGTCTGTACATTTGTTTTAAAAAAAATTGTCTACATCTTTAATGTTTGGATTAAATTGACAACAGTCATGTGTATGCACGCATCAGAACATGCAAAGACGGCATTAAGCAACTATAAAAGATCTTAAAGGCACATGTTTTTGTTTTTTCTTTAACAATAAGTTACTATATTATAAACCAAACAATTGCACACACTGATCATACAAACTATATGAAAACACCCAAATCAATATAAACCTGTACTTAACATTTTATTGCAAAGGCATCTAAGATTACAATCAGAAAAGCCAAAATATTTCTATGTAAATGTTAAAAAAAAAAGTGAAGAAAAATATAGAGAAAAATTAAACCCTCTACAACATTTTATGTCTTTACATATTTTCTTCACTGAACACATAGCAAGTAGTGGAGTCTGCTGCTCTCTGATGCCTTTTAACATCTGAACACTATTGAACATGAGCAGCTCTGAATCCTGGCTAATAAATGAAGGTTCTAATAAAGTCAAGTGCTTTAAAGACCCACTAAGTTCTCGGCTATTCCAGCAGAACAATTTTTTCTTTTACTTATTATTAATGTGTCTGATTGTGAAAGGCAGTTCTCAGGCTGAACAGATAATAACAGCTGGTAAGAGTTGAATAGACTGAAGTTCACACCAAGAGCTTGTGAGAAAGAAAATGTGTGGTGGTATATATATATATATTTTTTTTTCATATTCACTCATGCTAAATTTGTTCCAAATGAAGATTTTTGGTTCCCTATATTCCTCAAGATATCTTTCGTATTCAACAGAAGATAGAAATTCATACAGGTTTGGAACAACCTGTGGGTGAGTAAATGATAACAATTTGCATTTTTGGGTGAATTAAAATAAGAATCTTTTTTTTTTCTCACCAGGGATGGGTAAAGCCTGTGCTGGAGTTTGATTTCCATGGTCCAGCTGGGACAAAGCCTGCTCAAAAGCCTGACTGAACGAGTTTTGGAAACTGGGTACTGGGACCCGATCAGAGCCGTCACTCTCTCCATCACTGTCTGCCAGAGGAGGGGCCAGGAACATGTCTGCTGTGGAGGAAAACACATCACTAAAAATTACTACTAATAATTGAAGGTCTAATAATTGAAGGTTCTAATAAAGTCACTAAGACCCACTAAAAATGACTACAAAACTATGCTATTAGGAGTTAGTGTAGCCAGTGAGCCAACAAGAAACAAGTGTAACAGGTAAGTCAAGTGATGACAGGACCTTCACCTTTCTTTGGGGTAGTTTTAGGCCCGGCATCCACACGGGCTTTCCCATCTTTCAGCATCTGCACACATTAATATGGTACATTTAGGCACAACTCTCAAGATGGCATTGTTTTTATTTCTCGATTTAAATTCAATTTGATTTTAGTGATGATTTTCCCACCACATGAAGGCTACAAAATTGACTATTTTGTTGTTATAAACATGAAAGAAAGTGCTTTAGGCAGTCTGAGAGAAATGACAGGCAAACCTGAGCGAAGGACATGCAGTGAGAATCCTCTTCCACACTGGCTATGCTCAGAGACGGACTGTGCTCACTCAGATTAGGAAACATCACTCCATCTGAAATAAAAACAGGTCATAAGCACAGAAGACTAACCACTGAAGGCCACTGCAAGAGAGAGTGAGTGCTACCTGATGAAGGGCTGCTGCTTAGAGGAGACGGGGGGCCCAGCAGGAGCTCTGGGAGCTGCACCTGTGAGCCGCTCTGAGAAGGCGATCCAAAAGCAGGAAAATGCTGGAGGTTCTCAAGCCCAATGTGCACCTCTGGATCTGAAGAACACACAAAAATAAATTCAATAATCAAACCAATCGCAACACCCTGAAATTAGCTGAATGTTCTACAATCAAACATTGTCTAGTTTCATGAAAATGTGCGCCATGGTTGCTCAGAAACACATGCAATGAGGAATTAAATTCTCACATTTGCCATGTTTCCTGTTTTCCTCAATTTCAATCCTCTTCTCCCTTCTCTTTTCATCCCTCGCTTTCTTCTGCCTCAGGCGCTTCCGTTTCTCCAAGTCATCTGCCAGAAATAGAAAAAAAGAGGTTTTTTTTTAATAACATTTTTTGTAGGACTGAACCATTTACCAATACATTTTCCCTCATTTCCCTTTTGTCATGTCATTTTTTTCTTCAGTTCAATTAATGAAACCGCAATTATGATATCACTATGCAACAACTATACTTCAACAAGAATGCATAAAATCAAAAGTGTCAGAAAAGACATTTACAAAACATATTTAAAAAAATAAAAAAATAAATTAAAAAAAAATA